AACAGATTCTTGCACACAACTAAACAATCTCTGCACTAATCCAGACTGTTTACAACACAAATCACATTCACATAGACTCATTAACAAATAGGCTTTCAACAGAGCTACACCCAACCAGGCATCTCAAAGTTCCCACTTCTTTTCCTTTGTCTTTGTCCTGACCACACGGTCACACAAACACCTCCCCCAACCTCAAGCCAGCTTTGATTCGGCCATCTTGTAGTTCTCTGTTGTCATCCATTTTGTTTTGTGGGCCAAATGGCTCTTTGATCACCATACCCGCCTTTGTCTTTCTCTCTCTCGCGCACATGCACATGCACACGCACACGCGCACACACACACACACACACACACACACACACACACCAAGCTTGTATATAGTTTGTTAGAATTTGTGTGTTTTGGTTTGCTTTGCTAATTTGTGAATAAATATAATTCTTTGGAATCATACCTGCTGTCTGTTTAATGTTGCACAAGAGTGAATTAATAGTCAACCTCTGCTGCGTCAAGAACTCCAAAATCCTCCAGGCGTTACTGTTAATTTTGGTTGTTGTCATTAATTTAATTATTAATCAAAACTCCAAATTAATAGTTTAGCATATTTTATGAGACTGATATCTTTAACTGGCTATCATTTTTCCCTTTACGGGAATGGTGTCCCACGAGGTGATTTAATGTTAATTAAGTCACATTATTTAACATAATTAATAATTATTATTAATAATTATTAATTATTTCCGATAGCCAATTGACCCCGACATAATTGGTGCCTCCGTGTGATGCCCTAATATGTTGCTGTTATCATTAGTCATACTTCAATTATTATACACATGATTATTGTCACATATGTATACTATCAGATATTAATATATATTTTCAACATATTGTACCACAATAGCCAGAATTATAATTATAATATTATCACTTTCATTAATGTTGTTGTAAGATATTACCGTTGCTGTCTGTCCTGCATCTCTCTGTCTCTCTTTCTGTCTCATTGTGTCATACGGATTACTGTTAATTTATTATGTTGATCTGTTCTGTACGACATCTATTGCACGTCTGTCCGTCCTGGAAGAGGGATCCCTCCTCAGGTGCTCTTCCTGAGGTTTCTACCGTTTTTCCCCCTGTTAAAGGTTTTTTTGGGGGGGAGTTTTTCCTTATCCGCTGCAAGGGTCCTAAGGACAGAGGGATGTTGTATGCTGTAAAGCCTTGTGAGGCAAATTGTGATTTGTGATATTGGACTTTATAAATAAAACTGATTGATTGATTGATTGATTGATTGATTACAACATATTTGGTGCCGCCGTGTGAGACCTAAAATTATGTTCCCAACATATTTGGTGCCTCCGTGTGAAACCCAAATTTAAATCCCAAAACTATGGTAGCTAATGTTATAATCTCAAAGGCTGAGAGGACAAGCTGCTGCTCAGAGATACTGAATAAATTGAGTAAGATACTGATGGGATGATCTAATAGTGCTAGTCGGTCAGTACACAACTGAATGTTTCGCTACAATGTACCATGCTGAAAAACAGTCAGCTAAAGCTGTTTGTTTACTGACTGACAGACTCATCAGTCTGCTTGTGTTTTTAAACAGCAAAAAGACACAATCTTGACTAACTTTGACAAACCATCAAATCAGTACAAAGTGTTGTTTCACCATTTAAGTCAGCATTGCAGTGTAGCGTCAGCTTTTCAAGAACCGTGAAATATTCAATAGTATTGGTATCATTCAACTTTTCAATAATATTCATACTAATTAGGCTCCTTCACAGCTTTCCATCTATTCCTACTACTTTACCTTTTTACACATTAAAGCCAGCATTGCAGTGTAAAGTCAGCCTTTTAAAAACTAAAATATACCACAGTATTGCTTTCATTCAACTATTCAATGACATTCATCCACATTTAAGCCAGCACTGCAGTGTAGTGTAAGCTTTTTAAAACACCTTCAAATATTCCTCATCATTCAAACATGCATGGTATCATTCAATGTTTCAAGTGAGCATTGTAGTGTAGTGTAAGCTATTCAGCTTGAGCATTCACACGCACACACCATGTCACATGTTAATTGCAGGTGTGACGTGGTGTGTGCGTGTCTCAGAAATGACAGGAGCAGAATCTCCATTTTAATGAGCATGTAAACATTATATATCAGCATTATCCATCTAAGATATACTACTAAGGCCTTTACTACTAATAATAATGTTGCTACTTTTGGGATTATAAATGTTAAATACGTATTTTAACTTATTTACATACATACAATATTATTAATACTAGGGCTGAACGATATGGAGAAAATTTCATATCTCGATATTTATGCCAGATATCTCGATACCGATACAATACGATATGACTATGGGTTCAGTGAAAACTAAGCATTCTTTATAAAAAATTTAAAAAAAAAAAAAAACGAGTCCGAACCATTTTCTGGAAGCCCTCTTTAGTGACTGAATACACGGGAATCATGTGTAGCAATATGGTACGTTATAGCATTTGCAATGTCTTTGTGCCTGCTGGACGTCGATTGGTATGGCATTATGCTACTGAATGCATCAGCAATCCGACCTTGCTTGGGCTTGACACAGGAGGACCCAGATGTCCCTGCAGTGTCTTTTAATGCAAGGCACTGTTCATACAGTCCTCGGTAGTGTTGTCACGGTACCAAAATTGGGACCCACGGTACGATACCAGTGAAAGTATCACGGTTCTGAGTAGTATCAGGATACCACAGCCAAAATGAGGCAGATGTGCCTTTTGTCATTTATAAAAAGATAAATCACTTTTCTATAATACATCAATGATATTTCAATGGAATAAATTACTAATTGACTTATTCATACTTCAAAAACAGCATCAATCAGTGATTAACATAGGGGGGATCAAAATAAAATAAAATAAAAATCAACCAGCCACCCTCCTCCCCTGACAAGTAAAGAACAGTCCCTTCATAAGTAAAAAACAGTCCCTAAAGTGCGGTGAGGTTTGTGGAAATGTTAACGGCTCGTTTCTCCTCTGACACGTCACATACCTGTGTGCCGCTACGGCTCAGCTGTTCCGGTACTACTGGGCAGTCATGACACCAACTTATTCACCTGGAGCCGGGCTTCTCGGTCTCCGGTAGCCTCGCGTCACCAGGCTCTTCACGTATGGCGAAACGCCGGTAAACCACGTTATCTTGCGGTGGCCATAGCACTCCGCCGTATTCCCGTCTGTGACCCCCGTTCAACCCACAACCGGTAAGTTTCGCCTTTCGTTTCTGCTGCTGGTTGAAATCTGTACTCACACAGCGTACTGAATGATTTAATTTGCTCGAACAAAACTATTTTTAGTCGCAAATGTGTTGTGTGTACTAGCAAGTTGCTAGCAGCAGCACGTCTCCCTCGCTCAAGGGGATGTTTGTGATTGGCTGGCTTTGTTGTCGATCCAAGGCAAGCAGGAAATGAGGTTTGTGATTGGCTGGCCGTAGCTGTACATTTAGGGCAAGCGTAAAAAGGATGTTTGTGATTGGCTGAGCTGTACATGCAGGTCAAGCTGGGGAAACTCATGGGGAAATTATATCGTCAATATTGTTGCCTTTTAGGATATTAATATCTTGCATGTTCATATCTCGGTATAGATACGATAACGATCTATCGTTCAGCCCTAATTAATACATACATGTAGTATGTATTACATGTAGTTTGCAGTACTTGTACTAGGCAGTACATATCAATGAATCAGCTACTGCCATTAATAGTACTCTGTGGCGGTAGCAGGCACCCGTCAAAATTTAGTATATGTATACTGTTGGACTGTATGTATAAAGGGGTTCAAGTGTCACCATAGCGCATTCTGACTCAAACTGCATTATCACGTTTGTAGCAGAAGCTGCCCTCAGACTGACTTTGTAGAGGACACAGCACAACCCTGACAACTGAACTGATGGGATTGATGGGATCACCTAAGTCAAGAGAGACAGAGGGTATTCTTAGGCCCTGATCGCACAGGACGCTGCACTGCGGGTCTTTTTTAACTGATGCCATTAGTAAAAACTTTTTATTGTTGCCAGGCAACCACCCCATCTCCTCTTAACATTCCCATGTAATCAATGTACTGTTTATTTACTTTACTTTATTTATTTGACAAATAATAGTATCTAGTCCCTAAAATGTTCAGGCAGAGGGTACTTGCTGTAGCTCTGGTTGAGGGTGAGAGGCAGTTAATAGTTAATAGGCATCAGTTAATAGTTTGTCAGGCGCAAGGAAACAGATCTGTGTGGGTACACATGACCCTTAAAAAGAGGGTGGATTACAAGGAGTACCACCAGTTGGTCCAGGAGCTGCGCCAATGGCTGTTTCCAGGCATATTTTAGGATGACTCGGGGGCAGTTTGACAACTTGCTGTCTATCGTTGGGACGTATAGCTCTGGGTATCCAGCAACTGCTACCACCAATTTCTCCTGTTTGCCAGCTGTAAATTTGTTGTCATGACCACCACAGAAGGCCGCCTCTCAAATGATCCAATTGGACAATGGGGAAAAGGCAGATATGACGTGGGGCGTTTTTCTGCTCTGAGTTAAAGTTTTTTCAACACAAGGCGCTCAGTGAGCTCCGGCAAAAACTCCAGGTGCTTAGAGCGCGAAAAACACAATGTGCATCGCAATGCAAAAAACGTCAGCAAAAAGCTTCATTCTCATTAAAATCAATTACAAAAAGGCACCCCCAACTGCTAAAACACATCCTGTGTGACCAGGACCTTATTCAGCATTAAACTGAAGGACAAGCAACAGCAACATTGACCCTCTTTAATCATCTGACTAGACTCAAGTTTTTCTAACACTGGCTCCATACAGTAGATACTGGAACAGACACGGTCTCAGACATACCTGCTTGTGCACCACTCAAAGAATGACAGAGCAATTATCACTTAGTGGAGATTAATATTAAAATACTATTGAACACTTCATACTCTATTATGCTTACATCAATTTGATGCAGAAAAGAAAAACATACCTGGACATCGTAAAGTGCCACAATGTTTTCATGCTGCAGCTCCTGAGTAAAAAACAGGACAGAAAATTGCAAGTGTGATTCATTAGCAGGAACATACATACTACAGCAGCTAAAGGCAACACTTTGATCAATATTTCTATCAGGGAAGTTGAGGTACCTCTCTGTCAAAGGTGCAGACTCACATAAGGTCAATGCCAAATCATTCTTTAAATACACTGAGGAGATAAGTTAGAGGCAATTAAGTGTCATGCTCACCTTAAGGATTTTGATTTCCTTGCCAAGAAGGATCTGGGACTTGGACAGGTTCTTCTTATTAATGCTCTTGATCGCCACCTCCCAATCTGTCTTCTGCAGAACATAGAGAGCAGGACAGAGAGGAAAAAAGATCAAACTTAATCCCAATGTCCTTGTAAAATGTCCCCTTAACTTGTATCAAAGATTAATGAAACAGGTAATCCTGCTGATGTCAAGTCAAGTCACTTCTATTTTTGTAGCACATTTAAAAACAACAGGAGTTTAACCAACATGGTTTCCAGTAGAGGCAGATGTGTTATATGATTGGAAAAGTAAAAAGGTGCATAAAAGGCAATAATACATCCTGTAATACAATAAAATGATAATAGAGAGAAGGCAAGAACAAAAAGTAGAGGCTAAAACAAAATAAATGACACAAAGAAAAAAGCGGTAAGAGGATGTTTAAAAAATAAGCCTTGGACTGACCTTTGTTCACTTTTGTACAACACCTCAACCATTCTTTTAAACATATTAAGTTTGGCGTTCAACTTGTTTTGATTCTTTGTAAGGGCAGCTGCAGTACCTACTAAAAGTATGTGATTCAGAGTGTACCCTGTATTCACTCTTTCCGTGGGAGAGGGGGATTAACATTTGCCTGAAGCTTATGTCATTTTAAGTCCACAATGATGCGCAGCCATGCCAAGATACTTGATTTGCCGGGATTTTAAGAGTGTAGCTGAACAAAGTACAACAAACTTTGATGTGAGGCAATATTGAGAAGATGTCTTAGAACAGCCTTGATAGCGGCAAGCATCTTGTCTAGCACTTGCCATTGTTGTTTATACTCCTTGGTGGGTTCAGCACACCATTTGACAACAGCTTAACAATGGTGTTAGTCTCACCTGTGGCACTGATTGGCTTTTGGTTAGTCCTACCACAGAGCTCATTGACTCTTTTCTTTTTTTTAATTTTAACCAAGAAACTGCTGTTTCAGTAAGCTCGGTGGAGTGGGCGGATCCAAGGGTGTGCACCCAAGCAGGTGTTACTACTCTAATACACTGTAATTACATTCTTTGGTTCAGCCAACCATTTACTTCTTCCTAAGCAGGCAATTTCCAATACTTTCCAAATTGGAATTCAGTAAGGTGCAGTAAGAGCCTGTTGTCTGCAGCTCTTCAACTAACATCTCACTGTGGATGATTCTGCTTTTATTCTTCCCCCCTGCAGTCTTAGGCACGGTGGTGTAGTGGTTAGCACTGTCGCCTCACAGCAAGAGGGTTCCTGGTTTCTGGTTTGAACCCAGGGTGGGGGAGCCCTTCTATATGGAGTTTGCATGTTCTCTCCGTGTCAGTGTGGATTTTCTCTGCGTACTCTGGCTTCCTCCCACAATCCAAAGAGATGCAGGCTAGGTTAAAAGGTGACTATAAATCGGCCGTAGGTGTGAATGTGAGCATGAATGGTTGTTTGTCTCGAAGTTTTAGCCCTGTGATAGTCCGGCAACCTATCCAGGGTGTACCCTGCCTCTCGCCCAGTGTCAGCTGGGATAGGATCCAGGCCCCCCGCAACCCTCAAGAGGATAAGTGGTTACGGAAAATGAATGAATGAATGAAAATAAAATTCCACTAATTCAGTAATAAAAACATTTCATTTCCTGCAGATTCTTCACAACAAAAGTCCCCCGTTATTTTGTTATGTAAAGGCTTTCAGTGTGAAGCAGCAAAATAAGGAAATATTGAGTTTTCATCAGCAGTAACTTCACATGACCCATACAGCTGAAAGTGAACATGAAACTAGGGCTGCAGCTATCGCTTCTTTTAATAATCGAGTATTCTATCGATTATTCTGGCAATTAATCAAGTAATTGGATAAGAAATACTGCGTATTTTCATTAAATTATTTTTGCTTTATTTAAAGGAGCAGAAAGCGAAATCCTTTCACCGCTAGGTTTGCTGTTGTGCACTGCCTGTAGACCAAAACAAAGTGTGTCATGAGCCACACGAGGCAGATTCACTCGCCACAGGGGCGAGGAAATAAAACCTAAACAGCCAACTTAGTTTGGCTTAGTTTAGAAGTTGGCGATGTCTTTCACTCACTCTCGGTCTCTGCTGTGTTTAGCTATTTCCCTGCTTTCCTGTTAGCGTTAGCACTACTCGGCTGCCATGCTAACACTCCAACTCCAACTGAGCAGGGAGCAGAGAAGAGTTGGAACGTTAGCATGGCAGCCGACTAGTGCTAACGTCCCTACGCTTCTCCGCCAGGCTCAGTGAGCCGGAGCCGAGAAGCGTGGGGACGTTAGCGTTAGCACTAGTCGGCTGCCATGCTAACGTTCTGGGAGCCTGCTTAAGAGTGGGGACGTTAGCGTTAGCACTAGTCGGCTGCCATGCTAACGTTCCGGGAGCCTGCTTAAGAGTGGGGACATTAGCGTTAGCACTAGTTGGCTGCCATGCTAACGTTCCAACTCTTCTCCGTGAGACCAGGCTCACGGGCTCCTGGCTCCGGCTCACGGAGAAGAGAGGAATGTTAGCGTTAGCTCCCAGAGTTAGCACTAGAGCTACTACGGCTACTGGAGTAACTTGCAGCTATAGAGCACTTCTACCAGCTCTTCTAGTCACTGAGCCTCGCCTCCATTTCAGCAAATATATTGAATTTAATACTGGTATCATCATCATTGAAGTAGGCAGGGGAATAGCTAAACACAGCCGCCAGGCTCCCCGCCGGCCTACATTTTACAATGCTAATTGCAAATGTTAGCTGGGCTGCCGGGCTATTCACCTAACACAATCGTAACGCCTTGTAACATTAAATTTAATTTAATTGACATAGCGACGTGTGCCTAACGTTACTGTAACACTAATTAAAACAGACATTTGACTTTATGTTGTACCTGTCCAGAAGAAGAAGAGCTAGCTCCGAGTCAGATTGTAGCCCCTTTAGCTCTTGCAGTGCTCTCCACCTTGGAAATGCAAGGCCAATGTTAATCTGGGTTCTGTCCCTTTCTTTATCCGACAACCTCTTCGCCAACAACTGTTGTTTCTTTAGAGGTAATGTCAGATCCTGGTCGTCTTCAGGTGGACGTTCCGCTCTCTGCCATTTCATTTCGAAAATACGTGCTGCTAGGGATGTAACGATTACCGATATTACGGTAAATCTCGGTTAATTTTTACACGGTAAGAATTACTGTTTATGTTTAAATTAATTGCATTATCGCGGTGGATTATCAGGATATGTAATAACAGCCTCATTCAAGTCTCGCGATGCAGGCGCTGCGTGAATGCGTAGCATGAAAACATGGCGGAAGGTGATGATAGCGGCACTCAGGACATTTCCCCCCCAACTAAACGCACAAAGTCTGAGGTCTGGGCGTACTTTGGGTTTCTGAAGAATGCCGAGGGACAGCTGGTGGAGGACAACTATCCTGTGTGCAGAACATGCAGAAAGAAAGTTGCTGCGAAGGGTAGCAACACTACAAATCTGCTGGCTCATCTCCGTGACCATCATCCACAGCTTTACAGCCAATGCAAGTTATGCTATGCAAACGTCAGTTATTGTGTGAGGGACTTCGGTTTTACTAAGATTGTCATAATGTGTAACTCTCGACGTATACCGGACATTTGAGCCGTATCTGTCCTCCTAAACGGCGACTAGGTTTTCTGTTTAAGACACTTAGGAGCTAATACTAGCTGAGTAGCTAATAGCCGTATTAGCAGCTATGTTGCTAAGTGTTTCAAAACGAAACGGAGCTGAAAACACTGAGAGGAGCCGACAGAATATAAACCGACATAACGTAACGCTAATTGAGATCAACTATGATTGAATCACTGTGATTATGGTTATTGTATGGCAAGCTAGAATCGACATAGACGGCCAGTTATGCTTTCTCGACATAAGCTCAAGGAAACAACATAAACCGCTGCCATGTTAACCTTTAACCGAGAGCCTTAATGGACTCTCGGTTTTACAAGGTTAATTAACGTTAAATTCACTGCTCACAGTCTTGACCTAACACACACACAAGAACATGCACTCCTTTTCTCATACAGGTACTCTTCTCACACGCACACATTTAATGTGTGAATTATTCTTTGTAATGATGACCATTGCCCTTAGGGTTTTTTTGGTTTCTCCTGTACATTTGTGATATCTATTCTATATATTGTATGTTTTTTGTTCTACTCTTGCATTGTTTTGTTTTATATATATTTTTCCTCTCATGCAAATAAATAAATAATATATAAATTGTTTACATATTTTGCTGACTGTTAAAATGCACCAGACAAATAAGCTTTGCTCCTGTAATTTGTTTACATATTTTGTTCATTTAAAATAAATTTTTCTGTTGCTGTGCCAATCCAATGCCCCTTTAATGCAAAAGTTTCATTTTAATATAAGATTCTGGCTGATAACATTTTAGTATGATAAGGAAGTTACAAGATTTAGTGAAGTTATTTCAATGTATCTATTTTTTTGGACATTTTACAGCGCTTAAAAAAATATCGCAATATTATCGTTTACCGTGATAATTTGGTCACTATAATCGAGATATCAAATTTTCCATATCGTTACATCCCTACGCGCTGCCATTGCTCACTGGCTGTAGCCTTTTATAGGGAGGGAGGGCCAAGGCCGGCTTGTAAACAATGGGCTGGAGATCAACACAGAGAGAGGGTGTGTGAGGTCATGCTATACTCCAGATGAAATTACACCTCTAGTTCTTCACATAGCAATTTTTTAATTCCTTCAGTCTAGAAATGATGAATTTCGCTTATTGCCCCTTTAAGGGCAAGAGTAATATATAAAAGAGAAAATAATAAAAAAGTCTCTGAAATGAGAGAAATGAGCGACAAATTTGTTTCCTTTTTTGAAAATTCAACATTTTTATTGCTATAAATGCAAAAACATTTGTCTGCAGTGTGCACTTTAACAGTTGTGACAGATCAAATGATGCATCTGCTGTCTGTAACCTCAACTACTTACTCAGTTGAACATGGTGGAACCCTCTGCACAAAGCTGTCCAAAGTAAGACTTCCTAAGACTGGGTAGTTTAGAATCATTCACTGTGGTCAAGGGGTGCCTTACACCTGCTGACCCTACTTACGGCAATCCCAATAAATATA